ACGTATGTAATCTTAAACTCTGTATACTTGCATTCTCACACTTTGTGATTCATTACCTCTTCTAAAAATGTCCTTGTAGACCTTTCTGCTCCTAACTTTTTATTTTCATTATTTAATATAACTGTTATATTTTCATTAGAAACATGAGGGTTTTCTATTCTTTAACTAGTGAAAAATAATCCTCCTGATATTTAACATTTTAAACCAAAAACTGCTGAAGAAACATACCCATAACATAGATAAGTGGCAGAACGCAGAGCCTATGTGTCAAAATGGATTTGTTAGTCATTTTATAAAAAGAAAAAGACTTTCAAATTTTATATAAGCAAATATATTGCACTGAAGTTATATTTTCTAGGGGGTTCTTCTATACCTCCCCTCTCTCCCTTTCTGTTTGGAATTCAAATACTATCTACTCCTTAAATATATATTATTTGTGGCCTATAGCTCTAATAATTTCCAACTAATTTATAGGCAATTTTACTGTTTAATTTAAGGTGCAGATTAAGACACATTTTGTTGGCAAGTCAGCCTAAGACACTGAACTTCCAGAAGGCAGGCATTAAATTAGAGCTTTAAATAACCATACTTCTTCACAAATATGTATGTTTCTGTATACATATACATGCATATACATTACAATTATTTTTAATATCCCTTGGAAGATTAGAAGGCAGGTGTTACAATGAAGACAGATTTTGTCTTCAGTTGTTTTCTAATACTAACCTTCTGACATGAAATCAAACAAAACTAAGTAAATTTCTATCTGTCTATAAGCAGAGAATGACATATTAGCATAAATCACAAATCCATGTTAGCAACTGTACTCTTGATTCCTTTTATGTTCTAGATCAATTTCCTTAACTTGCAAAGGCTGCCTATTCTTTGCTTGTTTTTATTTTTGTTCACACATTGAATAGAAAAAGTAGAAAAATACTGAAATAGACATGCCATAAGACACTCCAATGGCAATGTACAAGACTCAACAGACAAATTTTTATCCTTTTGAAATACAAAAAGCCCTATAATACTGAATGGATCTGAGATGGGTATTTCAGAGCCAGATAAGGCTAGAATGACATGGACAATATAAGTAAAAATCATACAGATGTTTTATGTACAGCAAAGAACCTGAGTATTGTGGTATACCTGGTGAACTGAAGTTAAAATTCAAAGCATGATCCTGACACACCTCTGGGAACAGTCTGGGATCTCATTCTTAGGAAGAGCCCAAGTATTTCTGATATTTAAGCTTTGTAATGTCGTCCTTCTGCGAGGCTTGAAGACCAGCTCCATTTTGTCCATAGACACTCCTCTCCCCTGAAGGCACTCTGGTTGTGTCTGGGTAATGAAACCTGGGAAGTCAAAGGCAAAGGCTGCTCATTGTTGCTAGTACATTCAAAAGCAGTATGAACCAAGTCAAAACTTGAGGTGGAATCTGGCTCTCATTCATATGATCTTTACTATTTCTACATGACAACATGTTACTGAAATGAAACAATACACATAAAGCGTGCCTTAAGGGGCAAGACTGTATAAAACTACTGAAGAAATACTTTAAGTATGTACATAAATAACCACTCTATATGTATTAATTTACAAGTGTAGACATGATTTAAAATAATTTTTTTCCAGGAAGAACTTCATGGACCTGGAGGGTTTCAAAGCAGAGGATACTTTTTTTACAGGGTATGGTTTGTTTGACTTTTTTTCTTTGAATTTTGTGCTAAGTATTACAAACCAAAATGTAGAGAAACCAACAAATTATAGTAAGAGTTACTGTGACTGAGGGAATTCTGTTCAGTTAGAGCATCCCACCATACAGGACAACCTAAGATCTGCTCGAGACATTTTCTTGGATTAAAATAAAGGCATAGCAGGAATTTTTTGTACATACCTTAATATTCATGTATACACAATACCATGCTATACCTTAATAAGTCATTGGTCATTATGTATATAATTCTCAGAGAAAGTTCTAGAAAATACAGCATATTGGACAATCTCTCTAAAGGTTTGTTCAATATGGTACATTTGCATGTGATATAAATACAATGCCATGCTTACACAATCAAGAGAGCTACTGGGCCTGCCTCTCCCTTTTTCCTTGTGTTTTGGCCAGTATGGTTAGAAGCTAGATACAAAATTCTCAAGAGTATGAAACTACCTGTTCATCTTTTATGCCATAGAGCCCTTTTACTCCATTTTAGAAATATTGAGTAAGGTAAAAATGGCAAAGTAGAGTTAATAATAACTCCCCTAAATTTGGTTAATGCTTTTTTCTATTTAAATAAGAAGGTGGCTAATGGCTTTATTTAAAGAAGTGGCTAAGATTGGACTTAGTGATCCTAAAGGTCTTTTCCAACCTAAATGATTCTATGATTCTAATGAAAAGAGGGCAAGTTTGTATAGTTACATTTTTTTATGTATCGGGCTTGGACTTTTACAGTTCTTATGACAGGCCAAAGTTGTCACCGAGGCACTCACGATGTCAGACTAAAAAGTAAATCCTCATTGAGCTCAGAAAGGCATTTTTTTAGCAGCTTTAGTAGAAATTGTATCTAGTCCCTCAGCAGTGGAAAATATTTCTGAGAATGACCATGGTGAAAAGGGAGAAACTCTTTGCCTATGTTAATGAACACAGTCTAAAAATAAAATCATTGAGAGTGACATATATTTGTTTGTTAATTGCAATAAACACTTATAATGCAATAACAACAATCTGAAAACACATTTTAAGAAAATGAAAAAAGAAGGAAGGAAAATGGTCTCTTAGAGTGCCTTCTTGTGGCTTTCTCCCCCTTATAAAATCATACAAGATGGTCATAATTCATTCTTCAGTCTATACACAGATAATTTTACTGTCTAATTCTCCTCCAGAGGAGGATACATATTAAACAATAACTGGTCTCAGGTTTATATTTAACGATGCTCATGTTGACAGAACTGAGAAGTTTACCAGTTTCTATACACACTAAGTTGTTTGGGGCTTTGTTACTGAATCCATTCAGTTTAGCAGAGCACTTACTGAATATTTTTCTTTCAGCCACGCAATGGAAGGAGATCAGTGGATTTTCGCTAAGGAGGTATTTATTTAATATTCTTAAGCATGATCTACATTTAAATAAGTTTATTTTTATACAAATAGGCCACAATATTTGTGTTGAGAAGCAGTCTCAGAGAGCCTTTGATTGTGGAGCCAACTTAGATTTCCACAGACAAACATCTCCCAGATGTGTTAAATTAACATATCTTTGGATGACATAAATAGAAGCTGTAGGTACTCAGTTCCTAGGACAGAGAACACAGGTGTTTCAGGCAGCAATAAATGGAAAATATCCCAGATTTGAAAACAGTTTAAAAATTTTGCAATGATGATAAGTATATGCCAGGAAGAACTGATCTGACTACTACCAAATACATATTGAGAAGTAAACTGACACCGTGGGGGTGATCTTACACAGGAAAAATCACACTGAAACTAAGTCAATGATAAGTACATGCCAGGAAGAACTGATTCGACTGCCTACCAAATACATACTGAGAAGTAAACTGACACCATGGGGGTAATCTTACACAGGAAAAATCACACTGAAACTGAGAATTTAATTTAAAAGCATTCAGCTATTTGGAGAGATACTGAAAAAGTATGCCAATATTATAATGTTCTGCTTCCTAACACATTTTATGGCTCTATCATAATTTAGGTATTTAGTGTTATACCAACAGCTAATGATTTTTCTTCTTTTTCAGGATTTTAGATTCCTGACCTAGAACTAATGCTGCAGGAATGCTGAGTACATGGACATATTGTTTTCCTTATAAAAATTTTTTGTTAGTAATGTACAGTCACTAGAATGTAAATGTTCTTAAACCAGATTCTGTTCAGGATTCAAATGTGTCTTTATTTTCTTGATTATACTAAAAGCATATTGAAATTATTGCTTCCCAGTGTTGTGATATCTACAACTGTGTGTAATGTAACTGTCAAATCAATGTGTGCATGCAACAGACATTGCCTTTAACACTACTGTTACACACATTTATTTGCCCTTTTAAATAAAGGCACTCAGTTGTTTTAATGAGAATGTTTGCAATGTGAGAGTATTGTATGTTTTGTATATATATATTGTGATTTGTGCAGTCTTTAAAATCACAGCTTATCTAGGCGAGACAAAGAAAAGGTGTGGTTCGGTTTTCACGATGATGTTGGTGATCATTTCTATTTCCTTAACTAAAGGAAATTGAACAAGTCGCATGTTTTGAAGACCTATCATGACTTCAGTTCAACTGGAATACAACGGCATCAATTTTTTTTTTTAGCTATTGAGTCACAGTGCAGTATGGTTATCATTCAGAAGGTGACTTAACTGTGTTATTTACATTCCTCGAGAATTAGGATTCACTTGAAAACTCAACTGGTTTTGATGTAGACTTAGAGAAACTGTACTCAAAAGCACAAGTTAGTTTCACAATCTTCCTAGCGGCTCTCTCTTGAGTTTATTTTCACACCAGGGTTATGTTGACATACAATGTTGAGGTTGTAATTATGTATTAAGTAACTAATCTATTAGTATAGAAGCCGATCGGGTTTTTCTTAACATTGTACTGGCTAGTCAGGGATTAAATTGACCTCAGCATTACTGGTTCTGCAAGCTCGGTTGAGCAGCTGAACTTCAGAAGGTACCTGGGAAAACAGATGGCCTCAGAGGAGGAAACCAGCTTAAGAAGCCCTGTTCCTCCTCTTGCCTGCTTGTTTTCACTCTGCAGTTTGCTATGCCTCTAGTTAAACTGCTGCTATTATGTACGAACTGAGGCTCTAGTTACATATGAACCCTACTCTAACTAATGTGTGGCCTGCCACAAAAAGCCTTACACCACACAACTACCATCCTCCACTCATGCAGGCCATGGTTGAAAGGCAAAGCAGGGAGCCTTCAGGATTTGTTCATTTCTGCTTGTTTTGTGCTTTAATTTTTCTGAAATTGCTTTGAACAGGATCAGTTTTCTCAGCAGGGCCAAACAGTTGGGGCCCACTGCTGCCTCAGGCTACCACCGTTAGAGCCAGTGAGGGCGGAGGGGTGGCCCTGCCCCAACGGCCGCTGCCATCCAGTCAGACCAGCGGCCTCCAGGAGCTGAGGCAGTGCCCCGGGGGCAGCCATGCAGGTGGGCGCAGAGGGTCACCCCGGATCCAAGGTGTCAGGGTCTCGCAGCAGCCGAGACTGAGGGAGTTGGGGCGGGCAATCAAGGCAATGGGTGAGGCGGCTGGTAGGTAGGGGAGGCAGGTGCCTGAGGCAATCACCCCAATGGAGGCAACTGGAGAGAAAAGGATGGGCAGGGAGAAGGTGAGGAGCAAAGGCAGCTGCCAGGACCTGTGCATAAATAGCGTGCAGTCCCTTCATCTTAACTGTTTAACAGAAACTGCCACAAGGTTGGACTTGGTGACCTTGAAGATCTTTTCCAACCTAGCTGATTCTATGAGTCTATGATTCTAATACCTTATTCTTCATAGCAACACAATACTGATACAAAAAGCCTGCCTGTATAAAACTGTATTTCTTTAAGTGTGTTTAAGTAAGCAGCGTATAGTTTTGTGTTTCTGAAATAAGTTTCCATACATCTTTTAAGCAATTTTTAGCTCCTATTTTGGAGACTGATTATTTTATCTATGCTTACATTTTTAGTTTTCTTTCTCTCTTATTTTCTTGCTGTTTTCTGTTCAGAAATAAAAAATGACAAATGAAAATCCATGATAGAGAACTGTCCATGAAGGTATTGCAGCCTCTAAGTAATGTTTCCCTTTTGTAACATCCTTAATAAGTGCCAACATGAAAAAGGGCTGGTTTTGATTTTAAAAAGGTGCACAAGATTGATTTAGTTTTGTTTCATTATATTAAAACAGGACCCAAACGAAGATACTGAATGGAATGACATACTCAGACAATTTGGAATTCTTCCGCCAAAACAAAACCCGAAAGATGAAATTGAAGAAACGGTTTTACGCTTGCAGAAAGAAGCAGAAGGCACGTAGAATTAAAAATACATGCCATTACTATAACAAAATTTGAAAAGCAGAAATATTTTCAATAATGCTACTAGTAACTTAAACATTGTACAACAACTGTTGTTTTAATGATTTTCACTTGGCAATTCTAAAATGGATTCTGAATTAAACGTACAACGCAAATATAACAGTTACTGACAAACATGGCATGTAATGTATGAATGATTTTCATAGTGTCATAAAATAACCGATCAGTATCAGCAAGATTCACATTCTGAACAAGTGATTGTAACCTACTCCTGTATTTCTGGTTTTTCCTGCATGGCTGTATTTAAATAAATTTCTTTTCCTCTCTCTTACCCAGAGTTAGGCCAAAGTTGACTAACTTCTGAAATTAGTACATCTGTTTCTTTCCATTAGCTCCACAACTATGTAATACTTTTCATACATTAAAAATGTTTGCAGACAGTTTGGGGAACAAAAAGTGACTAATTTTTTGTTTGTTGTTTCTAGTGAAGCCATATGAAAGAATGAATCTGAAGGAATTAGAGGAAGCTGAAGATGATTTTGATGAGGCTGATAGGGAAGCTATTGAAAAGTACAGGTATAGTAAGATACTTCTCTCCAGATTAAGAGTGCACGTGTCACTGTCATACATGTACATGCTCTTGAAAAATAAAATCTTTTAAACAGTCATGTCTGCTGACTGACATATCTGCCTTTCATTGACAGCAGAAAAGCTTTGCTATACTATTTCTTCCTGATTACCTGTGGCAAAGAGAAGCAGTGACACCATATTTTACTTTGTTGTTTTGTTAGAACAAAATTGTTTAGTGTGAAAGATGGATATTTAAAAGAAAACAAACAGAAGGGGCCACAGTGGAAACTGCTGTTTTACATCCTCAGTTCAGTGGAAGATATATTGTGGTACTGTATGTTTGAAGTGTTGTATACTCAACATTTACCTAAGTTAGCATTGTTGCTAGATTATAATAACATTGCATATATATTTTTTAAACTTTTTTTTGGAAAAGGCATTTCTATGGTGGCTTTCAGTTAGTAAAATTAATAGCTGCTTTTAGTTCAGTTAATCTCAGGCATTTTTTTCTACCTTGCAAGTATTTTTATGGATGAAGACTGCCATCTACTGGGTTTACATTCCAATTTTTGTGAATTATTTTAAAATCGTAAATAGTTCTTCCTCAAACTAATAATATATTCATAATAATAATAAAAAATACCTGGATTATTTTAATTGCTTTGCCTCAAATGATATATCCTTGTGCAATGTGTTTATTACTCAGATTTTCCAAATCTAATACTGATGAACTAAAAAAAATGTATTTTAATGTTCTCTTATTGAATAAGGATTAGCATAGAAGCCTTCCCAGCTCTGAAGTTACATTCAAAGACCTTGAGCTAAAGGGTTACTCAAAGCATTTTTTAAAGTAACTGAGAGAAATGCAGTAGATATTACTTTAAAATGCATTTTAAATGCTCCAAAGATGCTTATTGTTGTTATTATTACTTTTTAATTAGGCAGCAACGCTTGCAAGAATGGAAGTGTCTTCAGAGGAGGCAGAAGTATGGGGAGCTAAGAGAAATTTGTGGAGAGCAGTATGTAAAGGAAGTGACAAATGCTCCAGAAGATGTTTGGGTTATAATTCATCTTTATCGGTCAAGGTAATTCCATTCTTGTTTAAGACGTTAATACTTCAATATAGAGAATTGAACTGATAATTAAAATACCAAGAAAAATTAAATACAGTAGACTAATGAAACAGCATTTTTTTTTGAGATGATGGAATCGTAGAGCATGGGACCTCCTTGACTTATCAACTAACTTTGTGAGAGTTAATTACTTCAATTATATGAAAGATTTGTCTTGCTGCATATGCTTATCACTATGCACTACACCTCACTGAGATTCCTGAATTTCACTGAGAAAGTAGGGAAGTGGTAAATGCTCCATCCCTGGCAGTGTTGAAGGCAAGGTTAGACAGAGCCTTGGGTGACATGGTCGTTGCCTAGATGATCTCAAAGTCCTTTCCAACTTGAACCATTCTATGATTCTAAAGTAGTGTCCATTGTGTGTGTTAAAAGAAGTCTGTGTTAAAGGAAGTTCGTTTGCAGGTTCTTTTCTCAGAAGGAGCGCTCTATACGATTATTCCACCTTATTTCCCCTTTTACTGGAATTAATCAAAAACCCAATAGGCTAATTCTCAGTTATAAACCTGAGCAAAGCTAGGGAATTCATTTGTTTATCATTCCCCAATAAATTCTCTAATGGTAAGAGAAGCTGTGATGGAATTCAGCAGAAATGTCAGAGGGTTTCCATGATCAGTTCAGGATATGTTAGCAACTCCATTAGATATTTTTGAAAAGCACTGAGAATTGGTATGGAATGTTGACTGCATTGCTTAGATTCAGACTGGCTCTCTTTTTTCCTTCTTTTTAAGTCTGTTGGGGAGAATCTTCTTTGATTCCTCTCAGCTGTCAGGAACTGAGTATTATTTCCATGAGGAATAGGTCAATCAAGTGAGAGTGAAATTGTTCAAATTACAGTAACGTAAATTTACAGATCTGATGAAAGAAAATAGCAGCTTTTCTTGCTTTTAGTTGGTTCTGTTTACTGGAGAACCAACCCTATACTTTACCCTTGCATAAATACGAGTCTGTGAGAAAACTCATAGTTCCTTAGGAATGAATATGAGATCTCCGAAGTCTCTAGTGGTCGGTAACAAAACTGCTTCACCTGCCTTTGGCCACGAGAGGGTACTGCGGGAACTCGTCGAGGATACATAGGGTAAACCAGCCTCTCTGACTTCAGCCACTTGCAGCAAAGATCCTAACTTCTAAAAGGTTAACAGGATGAAGGGAAGCAAAAAAACCCACCACTGTTTGTAATTGTGGAGGAGTTTTTTTGTTTGAGGTTTTTCTGTTTGTTTTGTTTGTGTTGTTTGCATTTTTTTAACTGAGGCTTATATAGTGGTTGTACTGTAAACAGTAGCTATGAAAGTAATCAACAGGCCTATGGTGGTTACTGTGACTACATAAAGGTTTCCCTGATGTTACTTAGATTTTACTAAAAGAATGAAGAAGCAATTAAACGGTAAACTGAAAGCCAGCTCTAATAAATGAAAGTAAAATGTATATAACAGAATAAAAAAATAAAAAAATCTAATTTAAACTCTACCATAAACAGACAAAATGAGCTTTAAAAATCATAGTGGAGAACAAAATTTGAGGCACAATGCTCAATTGTCTGGTAGCTTTACTGACCTATTTTATAGACTGTTACTATTACATATTTTTATTTGGACAGGTCTTTAAATCACAATGATCTTAGAAGCTAAATAAAATTTGTGGTGCAATCCTTGTAACAATTTACAGTAGAAGCAGACTATAGGAAAAAGTCATTTATTCTTCAAAAGCTTTATTTTTAATAACTTTATTTTACAGATCATTTACACCAGCAGTATCATTGTGATTTCTTACTCTTTTCTAGCATCCCAATGTGTTTACTGGTTAACAAACACCTCAGCCTACTGGCCAGAAAGTTTCCAGAAGTCAAGTTTCTCAAGGCTGCTGCGAACAGCTGCATTCAGAATTACCATGACAGCTGTTTACCCACACTACTTGTATATAAAACTGGTGAAATAAAAAGCAGGTTCATTGGAGTAACTCAGTGTGGAGGAATATATCTTAAAGTAGAAGGTATGAAAAATATTTTTAAATTGTTCACATTACAGAATATTTTATATTCTTTGTAATCATTAGATCTAAAGATCACTGCTTAAAGGTGGAAAACATTTTTTTTGTTTTAAAAAAATCTATGAAAATCAAAAAACTCATGTAATTCTGTTAACTGATAAAAATATTGATAAAATTGCAATTTCACAGTTAGATATTTTACTGGGATAAAGTTGGGTTGTTGCAAGGATGGCTTTTTTTTTGTGTTGTTAAGATGGATCTTGGTCTTTAATAAATGTCCTTTTCTCTTAAGTGAGAATTTATTGCAGTTATCAGAACAAATTGTTATTTTTACAGAGCTTGAATGGAAACTAGCTGAAGTTGGAGCAATAGAAACTGACTTAGAAGAAAACCCAAAAAAGGGCATTGTGAATATGATGACACTTCCAGTGCAAAATATTCCTGCTTGTGAAGCCACCAATACAAAAAGCAGCGATGCAATGAAACCACATATTACATGAGAAAATTTTAATGCAGATCATCTGCTCTGACCTAAATGAGCTCAAATACTGGGTTTGCTCCTTTGGTAAGCTGGAAAAAATAAAAAAAGGAAAAAAAAGGGCTTTAGTTTCACTCTTTTTTGTTTGTTTTTCTTTTTTTTTTGTTTGCTTACTTTGTGGAAGAAAACTGATGTAAATTAAACCAGTACTTTGATGGATTAGATCCATATAGATGGCTGTCATTTACCCCAAGAGTCTCAATTCTCCATTTCATACAAACTCTGCTTAAACAGAATGGGAAAGGGAGAGTATTAGCTGGTGGGCTGTAATCCATGCTTTTCTTCCTCCTTTTATCCAGCATGGGTACACAACACTCCTTTAATTCCCTGCTCTGCTAAGTACCTTCTTGGTTCTCTTCACCGATAAGGTGATCCACAGACAACGTGTATAGCAATACAAAATCAAGATTTGGCCCTGAATCCACTAACAGTTCTGTTTGTTTGACAGGTGTTCAAGAATTTTCTCCAGGGTCAAGGATAATCTTCCCAGTCCACTATGTTAGAATACTGACAGTTGCATCAGTTGTTCCTAACAAAAAGTGTATCATTGAGAAAATAGTTTAGTTACAAGCTGTAGATAAGCAAAACTACGAGTGACACGAAGAAACCAAGCTCCTGATTCAGATTTTGAGTAATCAAACTGTATATAGTATTAATGTTATTTTTCCTGTGACTCATCATAAAAAAAAACAATCTCCCATGTGCTAATGAATCATAGAATCGTTAAGAGTTGGAAAGCACCTCAAAGATCATTTAGTTCCAACCCCCCTGCCATGGGCAGAGGCACCTTCCACCAGAGGAGGTTGCTCAAAGGCCTGTCCAACCTGGCCTTGAACCTTATATTTTGTAGAGTCAAAGTAGTAAACTAGTAAATGCATTTCAGAGATAATGGCTAAACTGGTGTTATCTGCCACTTCAAAACTAGAAAGCTAACTAGTAGTTTTAAATGTAAATAGGTCACCAGTAACCTCAGATATGTTCCCACAGTCACTTCAGACAAGCATCATTGTTGGCTGCAATAAAAGGAGTACTACCACTCGCTTCCTCTTAGTGGTGAACCTCCCTCCTGCTACTGTGGTTGCCGTGAGGTACACAAGTGTAACACACAACTGCACAGGTCCCTTTCAAACCAAACTGTTTTATGATTCTATGTTTCTGGTTCTTGGTCAGTTATGCCATTTGTAGGAAAAGGGTCCAGGACTGAATATTGGTCAGTCTTGCTTTGCAAGGGTTATGTAGATTGTGTCTTTGTTAAATCCACAGAGTTTAGTATCCTGGAGTGATGTGAAATTCAGTTTCAAGACCAGCTTCCTCAAACAGATTCTCTTTTGAATTTGCCAGTGAGGATCAAGAAGGAACTTTCCAAGCAGGTGATTGTTCTATGGCTCTGAATATTTACCATGCATAATATGGCAAACACAGTTCTGCAGGAAACACGGTTATAGTTAATTGGAGCATGCTGAAAACATCTGCATTTCTGGCCCAGCCCAGTCCCATCATTCAGTAATTCATAGAAGATTTGCCACTCATTGTTTGGCAATGTCTGAAAATTATGTTGGCTCTCATGTAAACTTTGTGAATGAAACAAAACCATCACTGCACACCAGAACAAACTCATATGGATGGTAAGAGCCATAAAAATAGTGTATCTGGGTGGAGAATTGTTCCATAAAACCACCACACCATTTCTAAGCCTTCTGCCCTGTTCCCTCACAAGCCTTTAAAACTCTTTCAAAAGAGAAGCAGCATTTAAAAAATGACCTTGGTTAGACAGTAACTTCTGCAGTAAAAGAAATGTGTGTCATCTCCAAAGCTGTATTGCCTGTTTTGATCTCGTTGATCCCAAAATATAAGATGTGCAAGCTACAGAGTAATTTGCTGCTGCAGCACTGCAGTAGGTAGGTGTTACACTCCCACACAGGCAAGGTGTGAAGAAAGAGTACACTCTCTACTTTGTTAGTAACCAGTAGTAATACTTGAGACAAAAGATCATGTGGCAAATTTGATACACTGAACTTGATCCTGATTTCTTGGCCATATTCATGTGGTAATTAGGCATTTATGTTGAAAATATTCTTACATTTTCTCCTGGATTTTCAATTTCTGCTGTATCTTATCTTTTCCATGTTTCATCAAAAAAGCATTATCTTTTGAATGAGTAATGAAATCATTCTGTTTACAACACATTTGCAGAAACTGAAAGCTAGAAACAGAGTATTATGAATCAGTAGGTATCAAAAACAAGTGGTTTTATTAATACTCTAAAGTTCTTCAAGGGGGAAAACTGAGCTCATAGCTAGCTCTCTAGCAGCATTACTGCTGAAGAAGTTCCTGGCCCTACAACACTTTGCATGACTTTGGTCACAAGGTGAAACCGATCTACCTGGAAAATGATACAGAAAGAAGAATCCATGAGATTTTGCAGCCAAGTTCCTTACTTCATTCCAGACACAAACACTAATTAAGCTTTTGTAGATACACATCTGTAATTACGCTTTTAGGTACATTGCTGTTTAGATCAAACAAAAAATCAATATCCTTGTAACTAGCTAAGAAAGAAAACAATATTTACATACCCTTACTGCTGAGCAATGTTGTATTTTACAGAAAAGCGTGCTGCTTTGTCTTGCTGCATACAGACCAGTTTTATGCTAACAGAGTCACTGCATGTTTAAGCATATTCCAGTCATGCAGTATGGCTGGAATCCATTACATCAAGACTGTGCAGTATCCATTAGGCATCTCTCTGATTAGCTATGATACCTGATGCTGTATTTATTAGTTCGTCTGTCTCACAATTTTCTCTGCAAAGTCAAGCATATAGCCACATACTGCAGTTTTTGTTTTACCAACACACAAACACAACAGCAGTAATTTTATTACCAGATATAGTCCTGCAAACTACCACTATAGCTGCGTCCTCCAGTGCTGAAATGACACATTTTCTGAAGAAATTTACACCTCATCACTGTGTAGGCTGCCTAACAAAAATATTTCAGCCTCATACAGGGAACTCCAACTGTCAAGTCCACAATTACTCTTTTACCTTCCAGTCACACAAAACCACCCCCCAAACGGTAAAGATTAGCAAATGAGAACAGTGGGTTTAAACTGCTGCCTTTCAGTCAGCAGGACAGTTTCTGGTGTGAGCCTTCCATTTGGTACTCCAGGAATCTCCTCAACCTCAATGGCCATTAGTTCCGTACGATACAAATTGTATAAACCGTGCAATATTAATACAATATTTTTAAAGGTACCAGATTTTATTATGTGTTGAGATATAAAACTCAGCTAGGACCACTTATTTTTAATGTTAGGTAAGGCTGTTTCATAAACTGGTACTAAAAGCATTGCACACAAGCAAAAGGACGGAGACTGTCAAGTCTGCTCTCTGCCACTCCCTTGCGTTTTAGAGATCAAAGAGATCGCAGACCACCGCCACCCTGGGGTGCGCGACCCCTAAAGAACCTGCGCTGGCACGTCTGTTCCCAGATCATCCGGATTTCCCCCTGGGAATCACCATATGGCCGGGCACCGTGTCACACGCTCGGGCACTGCCGGATCGGCGGCTTGCGCCAGGTGTACTATTTCAGTAGGCAAGCGCCTCCGTTCAGAACATCCCTTGCCGAGGGCTCGGCTCCGGGCTGCGCGCCCGCCTGCAAAACCAGCCCTGGAGCATCCCGTCTGGCAGCGACAGCAGCCGCTGCGACATCGCTGGCAGCCTCCCGCGGCGCCAATATCTGGAGGCGGAGGGCGGCCGGGCCATCCTCACTCCCCGGCTTCCCACTCGCAGCCCGGCTACCGCCGGCTGGGCAAGCCCCGATGCTCCGAGCCAGAGACGTGGTACTGCCGGGTATCTCCGAGCCGGGCTTCCCCGGCACCGGCGCGCCAGGACACGACCCCGCGGTTATACCACCGCCCGCGGCGATGACCGATGGCGGCCATTTATTTCCTCCCCTCACGGAGCGGGGGTGAGGTAAGGTGAGGCGAGGTCAGGCTGGCGCGGCACGTAGTGCGCCTGCGCACGGAGTGCCGCGGGGTGCAGTGCGCCCCGGCGCACGCGCGGTGGCGCGAGGCGCCGCGGTAGCTCGGCGGTGGGCTCGGGCGGCGCAGGCGCGGTGCGCGAGGGGACTCCCGGGCCCGGCTGCTGGCGCTGCCGCTGGAGGAGGCTCTGTGCCGGCGGCGGGCTCGGGGCTGCGCGCACGGGACGGCGGGCGCCGGGAGAGGTCGGGCGGGCAAGGGCCGCGCGGGGCAGGGTGAGGAGCGCGCTGCGGGGTGGGGCGGGGAGGGCGGCTCCGCCGGACCTGGCTGCTGTGGGAGGGATGGCGGGGTGCGCCACGGAGCAGGGCCGGTAAAGTTTGACAGCGCCGGCGGGTCCCCCGCTGCCGCTGCCCCGGTGGCTGCGTGCGGGGAGGGCAGCGGCTGCCCTTGGGCAGGGCGCGGCGGGGGCGGCCGCCGCCGGGGGCCGGGGACATTCGCGGGGCACCCGCTAGGCCCGGTGACCCACTTTGCTCCTGTCACAACTCCCGGGCACGTTTGGAGCTCTGCCCGCCTGGCCCAACGCCCGTCCGGGCCCCTCCCGGCCCCGCCGCCCGGGCTGCGCGCAGGCAGGGTAGCCGTGGGACTCCCCGGCATGCCCCGTCGCCTTGTCCGCGCTGTGCCGTGTCGAGCCGCCGCCGGCCCCTCGGCAGTGGGGCGGGCAGAACCGCGAGCGCTGCCTCCACACCGCCGCTCACCTCCGTTTAGCGGCTCGTCCCGCTGGTGCTGGAGGGACCCCCACGCTTTAGGGGGTTGAGGGGATTCTGCGGCGGCTCCGTGCGGCGTCGTGATCGGGAAGCGTTTGCGCGCCTGGCGGGCGGCTTTACCACAGACACAGTGGTAGGTGCTGGCCCGGCGGCTGAGCCGTGGCGGGCCCCGGGCACTCCCTGCGGCGGGACAGCTTTCCCGGCCCTCGAGGCGCGGCGTGTCCCTGCTTCA